GGCTGGCATTATTATTCTCTAGCCCGTGTTCCCTGGAGATTTTTGGTTTAATTCATTGGCTATTTAACACCATATCCTCCTAGAACTCTATTTAAAAAGTGCAAACTAACATTGAGCACAACATCTAAAACTATATTACTAGTGAGAACGTTTGAAAAATTATTAGAAAGAAATCTCTAGGGCTCAGAAATCTATTAAAATTTCAGAAGACTAACTGAAGAGACTTATTTATGTGACAGAACTCTAAAAACTTTTAAAATTAGTGTGTTATTTCCTAGTAGTCATAGCAACCAGAACATGATGCCTCAAATATTGCTTATTTGAGAGTCCAGTATGCATTTTTAAACTATCCTTAAAATTGTAATTACATACCAATATACCGCTAAGTAGTGCTAGTTTGTGCTAACATACCAATTCATTGACTTTTGCGTAAAGATTTACTTCTCATAGTGCTTAAAGGTAAGCTAGTTCTGAGGCATGGAGACAGTCCCCTCCTAGTCTGGCTTACATGATTTATTCTCCGTGAAGAACCTTTTTTCATAAATAGTAAAAAACTATTTTTCTGCTCAGCAGGTCAAGGCCTGGAAATTTAACTTATTCATATTTATGTGCCCAATGCCTAGAAAACTTTCTGGCAAATAACAGGCATTTGATAAATGTTAATTGAGTCCAATTATCCCAAATCCTAAATGTGTAGGAATTAATAAAATTTTACTGCATACAAGTCTTTTTGAATTTACATATTATAAAACTAAGATTATAAGTCGTTTAAATACTCATCAGACTGTGAAGCTGCTAAATTTTCCACTTAGAAAGCCCCGCTGTATATTACAAATATATTTACTGTACCATAAGTGTCTACTAAATAGAGTTTCAGGAGCCTTAGATGAGGCTTAGATGAATCAGCAGTGGAAGATACTGATATTGATAAAGCATTGTTTCAAATGTCCAAGCATACTATTTGTCAGTCTGTTAAATTCCTAGGCATTAACATACAAGATCTAGTCCCATAAAAGTAACTGGAGTTGGAGGAAAAACCAACAAGAGATAGGTCTTGGTTTTTCCTCCTTTTTCAGAAGTTACAAAGAAGCACTCTAATGATTTCAAGAAAAATACATCAACTAGGAATTGAGTCTCTGAATTGACTCAGGTGGAAAAAAATTAAGGTACGCAAGGTCTCAGATGGTATTTTTTCTGTGGTATTGGAATAAAGGAAGTTGTTAGCATGCACACTGATAAGCTCATCTGGTTCTATTAATTTAACCATTAAAGTTGAAAATGGTATAACACCGTATCCAAAAAAACCAAAGTTTTCAACAGAGGTAGAAGCAGTCAGAAAGTTTAAGACTAGGAAATTCATAGAAGAGATTAAAGAGGAAAAAATATTCTAAAATCTAAGAAAAGAATGTAACAGTGGTTATATAGCCCTTTGTTAGTAGCCAGTTTTCTTTTTTCCTTCTCTATGTGTAAAACAACACAAATAAAAATATGAGTATTACATAATGTAGATGCTGATAAATTTAATTTTCCTCACTATACATCAGGAGAAATGTTAAGTGAATTATAGAGATTCCTACCAAATGTTTAACGCTATTACATAATGCTCAGTCTTAAAATGTTCATGTCTCTATTCCGCAACACTAAAAATTATAATTCTTTTATAGGACATGATAACTTTTCTGTGTTGTGGGGGGAAAAAAAACGAACATACAAATATAACTAATTATGTTTATAATACCCTAAAATAAAGATATTTTTCCATTAAACTACTAATAGGTACATAAATATTTGTCATTACATGAACCTAGATTTTGCATTAAAAATTTGCCTAATTGCTTTTTAAAATAAAGTGAGTATATTAATTTGGCTATCTTATATCCTTTATTTTGGCCTAGTTGGAAAAAAATTTCAGTGGCTTAGGTTGGTGCTTCAGATTATGAGGGAAAGTAGAATGCCATATATTGTCCATAATTTTGCTATCTTTGATTCTTCTATTTCAAAAATCAGTGTTGCTAAGGGCTATGGCCAAGAGTAGATTTTAATGCAAAGTTAATACTACCAGAATAAGGCATTCCCAGGAAATAATTAATGGTAAATTGTGAACACTTCTGCCAATTATAAACACAAGCATATTTTAATTAACCAATAAGTAGTTATTGATTACCAATTAGTGCAGGCTTTGTGGGAGAAACAAGTATAAGACATGTACTAAATCCATTACAAATATCAAGTGGTACTCAATACGCACTTTAGAATACCCCCTTCGTGACAGCCAAATGTGTCTGAAGAACATTTGAAGACGGACAAGAACAACCATGGGGCATTTTATTTTGCAAATTTAAAAAAAAGCAATTTTCTAAGAACAAAAGGACTGCATCTGGCTTAGCAAATTTATAAAGATAGTACTGTACTGCCCTCATTTTTTTTTTTTTATTGTAGTTCAAGACTTCTTCCCACAATGGCTTATTGTGCACATTACAAAGTCTTCAGGGTCTTCAGAATTAAAGTGACAGAGTATTTTTTTTAAGCACACTTGAGAATGGATCATTCTTCCTTACTCTTAATAAAATATGCCCTCACAGACTTCTCCAATAATTCTAGTCATCTTGACAAAAGAAAATCACCAAGACAATACAATGATTTTACAAAGAGGAAGAATGACAGTTTCCCTTCTACTTTTCAAAAATGTTTTATAATATGATTTGAGATTGCCTTTATTCAATAGGCTGAAAGAGGAATCAATTTTTACAAAGTGACACTCTCTATAATAAAGAACACCTACACTTCTGAACAACACACCCATTCCCACACATTCACAATGTTATTATTACCATTAGAATCTTTTCCAGAATAATTTTCTCAAGAGGAAAATATGGCTTTGTTTAAAACAAACTGACAATACCAGTTAAACAAGCAATAAAATAGAAAGGGTCGAGGGTTTGGTTTTTATTCTTATTTCTGCAAGTCTGGTGAAAGTTCTTGCCTTCACTAATGAGACTGATACTGTGCCTATCAATATTTCATTTATCCAACAAATATCTTGTGTGTCCCTACTATGCACCAGGGTGCTGGTTACATAATAGCCCAAATCCATAAGGTCCCTGCCCTCACAGAGCAGATGGATTTAGACAATGAATCCCACAAACAAGTACGTAACTATTTATTATGAGAACAATGAAGGAACACTACTGGGTGTCAGGAGAGGAAAATAGGAAGACCGAATTTAGATTGGAATTAATCAATTTAGGCTGGGGCTTGAAAGATGCCCCCAAATTTGCGAGATGAAGAGCTAGAAGACGAGAATCCCAAAGGGCATGGCTGAGAGGAAGGTCTTGGGTTTTGCCTTCCCAAATATTAACAAAGCAGCAAGCTAAAGTGCAAGAAACAACAGCAAGGAACGGGGACTGCCCCTCATGAGAGGATTCTGATTTTCACCTAAGAGGAGTGGCAAGTTACTGAAAGATTTAAGCAGAGGAGTAATACCACGTTATTATGTTTTATAGAGATTTTGTCTACTGTTTGAAGAATAGATTTGGAAGGGCTGGGGGGTGGGGGCATGGGGGAGTGCGGGGGTGGGGGGTCATCTCAGAGCCAAAACTCTCCAGCTGATTTTCAGATCCTTCCGCAAAATGACCCATCACCTCTCCTTACTTCCTTCTATACAGTGTCCAGCCACACAGTACAACACATCATTCTGAATCTTACTCTCACACAGTGTTTGGCTATGGTTTTCTCTCTGACAACTCTGCTCCCTTCTTTACCAGTTAAAAATCTCAACAGGCTAAAGGAGACCCACCTGACTCAAAGTCCAATGCCTCCATGAAGATTTTTCACTACTTTTTTTTCCTAGTGGAATATATATATATTTTTTTAAGTAGGTGCTACAGCCAGCATGGAGCCCATAACATGGGGCTTCAACTCACTACTGTGAGATCAAGACCTGACCTGAGATCTGGAGTCAGCTGCTTAACCAACTGAGTCACCCGATGCCCCCTTCACCCAGGCGCCCTGTTTCAAATGTGCAACAGCAAATAAGTCCTGAATAAGGAACTGATTTTGGCTTGAACTGCCTATGCTTCAGTTATTTGCTTCCTGAAATAACCTAGTATACAGCTGCCCAGCCTCAGAAACATACACGCAAGTCATGGGCTAAAAACCATTGATAAAGAGATTTTTCTTTTTACATTTTTAGTAAACTGTAAAATTTGATTTAAAAGACAATTTTCAATTATTTTTTGTGCTGATGATATAAATCGTATTTGCACACATACATACCAACAAGACATTGCAGTTAGTTAATTCTTTTTATTTCCATGCTTACTAATCTCTCGCTAGTTGCGGCAAAAAGGCATGAGGATGTCTGATGAAATATATTTGACCCAACAGACTTTAAGAATGAAAAAGAGCTAAGTCTGGATTTAGCGAGCCAAATAATACCTATAAAGTTATATTTTTCACCCGAAGCTGCCCTACAAGTGGGTCATAGTTTCATCTAGAAGGAACAACCAGATTGACTCAGACATGAAGTTTGTTATATTACACTTGAATTTATTGTTTATGCTGTACCGACTTCCAAAGGGAATTATGACTTCCTTTAAATGGGAATGGTCAGTAACTATCCCCTGCAACCTGCTGGAAGTGTGGTTCCTCCCTGAAACACCCCATACAGAGTAGCAGACTGATCTAATGGACTCAGACCTTGCGGTTTGGCTGCAATCCGGTCAACGAATGCAGACAAACCATAATCGGTCACATGCACAATTGGTGGTTCTAAAACATCACTCTGTCTGGGAGAAAAAGCCCAACACAGAAAATAAGGGATTTTTATAACTTTGATGACAGGTGACTAGTGCAGTATCTTCAAAATAATTTTACTGCAATCATTTTAGGAAGAAAATATCATCCATATTGACTCAATGATGAAATTTTGACTAAAGGAAACTTCTGAAACAAGCTGACATCTTACTCTGATGTCCCCAGAGGAATCCGTCATCGCTTACCTTGATCTCTTTCATGCCATGTTCGGCTTCCAGCAGCTGGTGAATTCGGAGACGGATAGAAGTCTCCTGTAGGACTTGGTTCCATATTTTCATCTATGGATATAGTTTTGGGTCTTTTGCTGTTAAAATATGACAACAGTTGCATTAATGGGATGTCTAAGGGGGTGTGTAGCAGGTGAAAGTATGTAATTTGAGAAGATTCTTAGTATGAAAATTTCCATAAACACAAGTAATAGCATCTCAGAATCATTTCTGAAATAATGGAGAGTATTCCAGACTTCAATAGGAGTAGCAAACGCTTCTAGTTGTCTATGTCATTTATTACACCATATTATACCTGTACCTGCCTAACGATAGGGTGCTTATTATATTTACCTTTTGAAATGTGTTTCCAAAGAAACTTCTGTAGTAAAAAGTGAATTTTTGATGTGATATGTGTACTAACTTTAAAATTATTAAGATTACACCTGACTCTTATCATTATTATCAATGCTAATAATATTTATTAGCATAGCGCTTGCCATACCAATGTAATTCTTTCATACTAATTCAAACATAAGGCGAAGGAGTCAGTAGAACATGAGCTTTGGAGTGGAACCAGCCTAGTAGCAAATCTTGTCTAGGCCACTCACTACTTCTTAATAGTAAGCTCCTTAACCTTTCTAAACTCAGTTTAATCATTTGTAAAATGGAAATAATAAAACCTAGTTCAAAGAGGAGTGGTTGAGAGGATTAAATGTAAAGCTCTTAGTTAAGTGGCTGGCATTTAGAAGATACTTATTAAGTAGTAATTATTATTAGTAACCATACAATTAATAATATAAAAATCTGTGTAAGACTTTATTGATTTTAAATTATTTCATATATTCTTCTTTATATTTTTTCTAAAAAATTAGGTTATGATCTTTTATTCTCAAGAAAATAGGTCACTGCCAAATTCAAACAAACAGTATATTTTTATTTTTTTAAAAAAGATTTATTTGACAGAGAGAGAGACACAGTGAACGAGGGAACACAAGCAGGGGGAGTGGGAGAAGGAGAAACAGGCTTCCTGCTGAGCAGGGAGCCCGATGTGGGGCTCGATTCCAGGACCCTGGGATCATGACCTGAGCCGAAGGCAGACGCTTAACAACTGAGCCACCCAGGCGCCCCCAAACAGTATACTTTTAGAAAGATACATTTTCGGGACGCCTGGATGCCTCAGTTGGTTAAGAGTCAGACTTTTGATTTTGACTCAGGCCATGATCTTAGGGTCGTGAGACTGAGCCCTGCATTTGGCTCCATGCTAGGTGTGAAGCCTACTTAAGATTCTCTCAATAAATAAATAAATAAACAAACAAACAAATAAATAAAACAATTTAATAAAGAAAACATGGCTCATCCCAGTTATTAAGAAAAGTGAATATTTAGGGCAGAGATTAAAAAGTTATGTCATGGGGGCACCTGGATGGCTCAGTTGGTTAAGTGTCTGACTCTTGATTTCGGCTCAGGTCATGATCTCAAGGTTGTGGGATCAAGCCCTGTGTTGAGCTCTGTGCTGGGCATATAGCCTGCTTAAGATTCTCTCTCTCCCTCCCCAAACTGCCCACCCTCCTGCCCCCATGCTCAAAAATAAATAAATAAATAAATAAATAAATAAATAAATAAAATTAAAAGCTATGTCATGGCATAGGACATCTTGCATGATATACTCCTACATATATTCCCATCAATACCCTATTAAACGGTCAATTATGACTATGAAAATGGATTTTTTTCTTTAAATTAAAAAAAAAAAGAACCACAGGTAAAAACCAAAGAGAGATATCTTCTGAATTAATTTTGTGTAGTGATAATAAACATGTCATAGGATTTCAGAGTTGGAACTGACTTTCTAAGTCCTACCCGTAAATCAGTCCTCCCTTTTCTCACAAGTGGGGACACAAATTCGGAGAAATTCAGTGAATTCCCAGGGCATGTTAGTGGAAGTAGTCTGCCACAAAGTAAGGACTTCTGACTTCCAAGACCGTGTTTTTTTTTGCTGCACTGTTTCCAAATCCTAGAAGCCTGTGTACATCTGGAATCCTAGAAGCATGGGTACGTATTCACAGAGGTACTTGTGATTAATATTTGACTCACAACTCCCAGAGTATTAACATGATGTAGAAGATAGCAGTTTTTATCCATGCGACACCACAATGGGAGTAAATAATAGTCCTTTAATTTATTCCTATGGTATCCAAAGTTAGAATGCATGGTTTTTTAAACTCTCCTTTAATCTAATTCTCTCAGCTGTGAATCAGTAGTAAATATGTACAGAACACTTAAAGTGAGAGAGAAAAGTTTTTAATAAGGAAATAATAGAGAAATGTTTTTGAAACCTTCTGAATGGCATAACATCTGAAACCAAATGACTATGAAGAAATATCTGTGTTGACAACATACTGATCCATCAGACCAAATAGAAACGTACTTTTCATATTTCAAATTTAGAAAAACTAAAGCATTTTTAAGACCCAACCATGTCATAGACAATCTGAGTGACAATAAACCAAATTACTTTGCTATGTAACCTAACAATATGAAGACACAGTTTGACCATAAATGATATAAAATTGAACTTAGTTAATAAACATAAAAAGTGCACAGCCCCGTAATTAATTCAAATGCAATTGACTTTCATTATTGAGAAGAGCATAGGAAAATAATTACCCAATATTCTTTTATTCTTAAAAAAATGGATATTATAAAATGAAATGTTTTGCTCTGCAATTCATGTATGCTCTTACATTTGATCATGGGTATATGTAATGCTCTGAAAATGAGATGGATCTTCATATACTGAAGATCCAGCTTAAAAAAAAAACCAATAAAGCTATAATATTTATTCATCTTAGTTCTCAGTAACTCAGTCCTCTTCTGGCATCCAATAACAGTGGAACATATCATCACTAAATCCTGCGCAAACAACTTTCCAAGCTATTTATCCCTCATTTAAATAGGAAACCTCTTTTTAAACTTCTGTGGGATTCAAAGTTACAATCAGAAAGTCAAGAGAGAAAAGTGAGAATGTTAACAGGGAACTAAAAAGTACAGTAGCCTCGCTGTAGCTCTTGCCCCTCAAAGGCTGGTCAAACCAAATCTCAGAGCAGGTAATACTTTCATTGGTGACTAAGAATCAACTAAATTACTAAAAAAAATACCGACTCACTGAAGACATTAGCAAAGTGTGGCCTAGAATAAGACCTTTACTTTTAAGGTTAAGTAGATGACACATTTTATTTTTCACGTTTTACTATACCCAGAGCTTGGATGTGATATTAGGGTAGAAGTTACCAGGATGGATCAATCTACAGACAAGGGCTCTCTGCCATGACAACATTGCTTTTAAGTCACTAAAAGATTTAGTGAACTTGTAGAATTCTAATATTTCATAGAAAAGAATAAAATCATATTCATATTTTTATATGAAGGGAATATAATTCCCTTGTCCCACCCAAAAGATGTTTCTAATGTTTTGAACAATTCCATTTAATTTTCAAATATCAAAATAAATTTAACCAGGTAAGAGTAAAAATTCATGTAGAATCAGCAAAAAGTCTTGAACTCTTGGCTTTGTTTCCCCGATCTCTTTATCTACCTACCTATCTGCATATCTACCTATCTACCCAGCTGCATATAGACTGAGAACAAGTGCAACTCCTCTTTCAGTTACCTGCTTGGTGGAGAAGACAGTGACCTCTGAAGATTGACCCCCGAGTTCATGTCATGATAGTATGGTTGGCTCGGGATTTCTCCAATTGGGAAGTTGACTCCAGTTCCCTGGGTTATGGGCGCTGAGGAATAAAACAGAAAGAAACATCAGGAATGACTTTTACACTGGTCATCTCTAGTTCAATGTAATAATCTAATACAGTCCACACCTCCGGGCAAACTCTCTTTACCCTGAGACTCTAATACCAACCGTCCACCGGGGTATGACTTGGAGACCTCCTCAGGACGCCAGTGTTCAAGTCTGGAAACTTGAGGCACTCAGACTATAATCATTGGTTACCACTTCCCCTATTCCCACTCTCCAACCTTCTTCACTCACTCCTTTGTATTAGTTTTCACTACATCTGTCACCACACTAGTCTATAGATGCGTCAGAGGAAACGACATGTTTCCTATTGCTCAGCACCAAACAAGGCGCTTTGTATTAAGTTGGTTCTTTTTTTTTTTAAGATTTTATTTATTTGAGAGAGAGAGAGCATGAGCGGGGATGGGGAGAGGGAGAAGCAGGACCCCCCACCCCCACCCCGAGCAGGGACCCAAAGAAGGGCTCAATCCCAGGACCCTGGGATCATGACCTGAGCCAAAGACAGATACTTAACCGACTGAGCCACCCAGGTGCCCTCTATGTTGGTTCTCAAAAACCAAATTGCTGTTAAGTTAATGAAATTCGAATATTAACATGGTAAAACGCATTAGAAATCATATGAATAATTACTTGGTATAACGAATTCTTTTTTTTTTTTTTTAAAGATTTTATTTATTTATTTGACAGAGAGAGACACAG